TTTCCAATTTTTTTCAGTCGGAACTCTGTTTGACTTTTTGTCGGGTCCCCACAGACGGCGCCAATGAAGTGAATAAGATTCACCCGGGTTCCTTCAACTCGAACCGGCCTCCGTACCTGCAGAACCCAACGCCGTGTGGCCCCGGCGTCGGGCCTGCGATGCCTAAGTCAGTGCTCGGATCAAGAGAGAGATAAAGTGTAGTAATGTAATGAAGAGAGGATAGAGAGAGTGTAGTAGTGGAATCAGAAGAGAATGAGAGAATGAGGTACCTTGGCCCCCTTTTATAGGGGGAGTGTACCTTTGTGGGCTCAAGTTGGGCTTGGCCCATATTATTGGGCTTAGACGTCTTAGTAGACTTATCTTCCAATATGTATCCGCTTTATCCATTAAACCGGGTCCAGTATAATATCCTATATCATCTAGTCCCCCCCACTCTGGTCGAGTAAGCATAACTCGATCCAAGAGTGAAATGCCTCTTCGAGTTGTTTTCTTCAGCTTGCCACTAAGATCGAGCATCGAAAGTCGAATAACCATTGAATAACCACTGAAATATCCTCCAAACGAGCTCTGAGATCTCAAGACCGAAAACCAAAAGACCACGGAGGTCGGAAACTGGATGATCTGATACCGGGGTCGAAAACTGAAAGATTTGTCAATAAGGTCAAAAACCGAGAATCGGGAGACCGTTGAGCTCGAAAACCGAGAATCGAGACCGCTGAGGTCGAAAACCGAGAATCGAGACCGCAAGAGGTCGATAATCGAGAGTCGAGACCAATGAGGTCGAAAACCGAGAATCGAGACCGCGGAGGTCGAAAACCGAGAGTCGGGGCCGTTGAGGTCGAAAACCGAGAGCCGAGACCGCGGAGGTCGAAAACCGAGAGTCGGGACCGTTGAGGTCGAAAACCGAGCATCGAGACCGCAAGAGGTCGAAAATCGAGAGTCGAGACTGCGGAGGTCGAAAACCGAGAGTCGAGACCAATGAGGTCGAAAACCGAGCATCGAGACCGTGGAGGTCGAAAACCAAGTGCCGAGACCGCAAGAGGTCGAAAACCGAGAGTCGAGACCGCTGAGGTCGAAAACCGAGAATCGAGACCGCAAGAGGTCGAAAACCGAGAGTCGAGACCAATGAGGTCGAAAACCGAGCGTCGAGACCGCAAGAGGTCGAAAACCGAGAGTCGAGACCGCTGAGGTCGAATATCGAGAGTCCAGACCGTGGAGGTCGAAAACCGAGTACTCACCGATGGGGTCGAAAAGCAAGAACTGAATAGCCACTCCCTGAAGTCTTGAATTTGAAAATTTGAACTTATGCCTGTTGCGTTTCGATCATCCTGCTTGAGCTCTCTTAGACCACCCATTCCTATCGCCCCCCAGTTCAAAATTTAAAATTTAAGCCTATTGTATATCGTCTCAAAACCCAAACATCCTGATTTCGTGAATTGCTCTAAATGAAGTCCCCGACTTGCCCTGCTCGAGCAAAATGAATATACTCGACCGCCAAAGAGGTCGAAAAAGATAAATTCGACAAACCAGAATCAACGAGCAATCAAACCAGAGTCCATAAACAACCTGCTCGAGCAAAATGAATATACTCGACCCGCCAAAGAGGTCGAAAAAGATAAATTTGACAAACCAGAATTAACGAACAATTTGTTCGAGCAAAAATGAATATACCTCACCCGCCACTGGGGTCGAGAAATCAGTTCGACGGAATCATAATCAAATAAAACACAATCAACCTGCTCGAGCAAAAATGAAT